TTACTAAAATAAACTTGAAGTATACTACTTTTTGGTAAGGGTGACTGGAAATTAGTACATTGTGAAAAGGGTGTCTACTTAATAATAATGAACACATCTGTATTTAACATCTTTAATAGTCTTTAGTATGTCTGGTGCCAATTTGATGCTGAAAGTTGCTCAAAACAAGTGAGATGGATAAAATGAACTGTGGTACACCATTACTTGAGTGGATTTAAGCTTTTCCAATTGTGTTGCCGAGTGTGTCCTTTTCATCTTGTGTAATCACTTGCCGCAAAAAAGAATGCCAGGCTTGACATCTTTATTTCTCGTCTGAGTGACAGTGTGACAGTTTTCTGACAGCCTAATGATATTTGTTTTCTTGCACTCAAGCAATGATTGTCAATTATCTGTCAGTTCATCTAATGATCCAATAAAATCCAGCCATCAGGGTCCCTTATTCATTCGTGCTCATTGGTATGTAATAATTCTAATGGAAGTTGAAGGTCTCCAATTTTGTCTGTGTGTGTTTAATGACAACCACACTTTATCAAATGTCTAATCAAATAATGACCATTAAGCTATTCATTCAGTGAGCAATTCAACAAGCAGTAACAGACATTGAATACTGCATGATGCATTGATTCACTGAGCTGTCCATGAGTGTGCTGTCACCATTTCTTGAAATAATCTCAAAGTCATGTATTGATTTGGACACATTTAAGCTTTACAATAAATCACAATGGCCAAACACGATCTAAAATGGCTTGTCCTTCCTAGTCATTTATGGGTCTTTTCTTTCCTGCACTGCACATACTGTATATTATACTGACCAAGTTGGACTATTAAAGCTTACAATATTATTTTTCTCACACAATACCATTCAAATGTTTGTGGTCAGTAAGATATTTTCATGTTACGCTCACCAGGGCTGCACTTATGTGATTAAAATATAGTAAAAACAGAAATATTGTGAAATATTATTACAATTTCAGATAACTGTTTCTTGTTTTAATATATTTTAAACTGCATTCCTGTGATGTCAAAGCTAAATTTCCAGCAGCCATTACACAGTCTTCAGTGTCACATTATCCTTCAGAAATCATACTAATTTGCAGATTTGCTGCTCAATAAGCATTTTTTTATTATTAATGTTGAAAACAGTTGTGCTGCTTAGTATTATTATGGAAACTGTGATATGGATTTTTTTCAGGATCCTTTGATTAATTAAAAGTTCAAAAGAACAGCATTTATTTAAAATAGAAATCTTTGTAACATTACAAATGTCTTCAATGTCACTTTTGATCAACTTTAATGCGTCCATCCTGAATAAAACTATTAACATCTTCAATATTATTTACCCCAAACTTAAAAGTTTGTTTTATGCACATGGTTGGCACAACATCAGCATGCAATTTCAGGTGTGCCCACATGATGGTGCTGACTCTGTTTACAATAGTGAGTGTTATTTATGATGGAGGGGTCGCCTTTATTTAGTCTATTATATGAAGGAGCCATACTTTGATTTCTATCATGGTTCATGAATGTGACAATCGACTAGTACCATGGTTTACCTCAAACATATGCATCTTGTGCATTAAGGTTATTATATACGGTACTGCATATTTGCATACACCCCAAGGTATAATGTTCAAAAAACATGGTAAAGGTAAGTAGTCATTAAACCTACAAGCATCATGAAAAGTTTAACTAAGTGAAAACACATTCATTCAATTCAAGGATGCATTCAGATTTTCAGTCACAGCGGGTGTTAACTAATGTAGGTGATTAGGTCAACTTCCTCCCCAAATAGAAACATTTCTCATAGGTTTTGCCTTGCTGTTTTCTCTCGGTCTGTTCATTGTTTGAGCCTCTTCCTGGCTCGTGAGGTTTTGGAGGACCGTCTCTGTGTGAAGCACGGTTCTCACGTTACAGGTCATTGTACCCTCACTGAATAGTATCAGTGTACAGAAATGGACTGTTCCCCTTCTCTAAAGCAAATCAGGTTACACCAGATTCAGAAAAGTTATGGTTATTACAGTACACCCTGTCCCATAGTGGATATGAAGTCACTTCTATTATAATTTGTAATTGTCAGTACTGTTATTTATCTTAAAGAGATTGCTCACCCAAAAATGACAATTCTGTCATCATTTACTCACCATCATGTTGTTTCAAACCTTTCTTATGTGGAATATAAAAGACAATATTTTGGGTCAAAATAACAATGGACGATCTTGAATTTCATTGTATAACCTTCCTAAAGTCGTATTGTGTCTTTGAGCAAATGTTTCATGAATTGAAAGTCAAGCATCACATAATTTGTTACTGAAAGTTTTCAAAAAACAAATGTGCAATGTAATCTGTGGATTGTGCCTTGGGAAAATTTCATTGTGTTTTATCGGTTTCAGTCAGGAAATATCCTTTCAGCTGTGGGGGGATGTGATTGGCTGGCTATAGACTTCCATAGTCAACAGCTCTTCAGGGGGAGTCCAAGCATAAATACTCTGACTCACCTGAACAAGAACAAATAAAAGCCACCAGTTCTTCTCCGGACAAAACCACACTCAGGTGCTGCATTTGGAAACAATCCTTGTAAGTATTACATTTCTTATTCACAAAGTCTTTGTGGTTTGAAACTAAATTGCAATTTTTTTGATGCACCAAGACATGTCATTAAAATGCAGCATTTTCGTATTTGGTTACAGTATGCTATATTCAATGAATTTAGGGTATTTTTTTTTCTAAATCTAGTTATTCACTGCAGGGTATTATTAAATATTAATACATAGCTCTTTAAATATGAAATATCTGTCTGTTAACGAAGGGTGGAAAGGAGAGTTATTGGTATTCTGGGGTTTTATGGTTTTCACATGGCATAAGTGAACAAGCTGCATTCAGACTAACAAGCAATGAATATTTCTTTACCAGCAGTACACATACAGAACAGAAAGTCTCTGGTTCAGCGAGCACCATGACCTCCAGCTTCTCTGTGCACAGCCACTCTCTGGGACGCCAGCCGTCTTTCTCCAGCATGTCTATGCGTGACAGTGGAGTTCGAGGACGCTCTAAAGTCCCAGTGTCCCTCTCCTCAGCCAGTACTCTGTCCCTGTCTCGTTCGACCTCTCTGGGAAATGGCTTAAACATCCTAAGCAACTTCTCGCTGAATGGTCTAGGAGTTGGTGCCAGTGAGAAGGAGACCATGCAAGGTCTAAACGACCGACTTGCCAGCTATCTGGAAAAGGTGCGTTCTCTGGAGAAGTCCAATGCTGACCTGGAGCTGAAGATTAAACAGTTTATGAAGGAGCGAGCACCCAAGGGTCACGACATCGAGGGACTGATTGCTCAAGCACATGCCATTGGACAAGAGGTTTGATGATCTAGCTCTGTTTACTGCTTTGGTTTTAGCTGTTTCTTAGACAAGAAAGCAGAAATAATGTTCAATGATGTCCTTGCATGAGATCCTGTATTAGTCAGCATCACACTTCTGCTCTTTAGGTGAGGAAAAAGACGTTGGAGAATGCTCGTATAATGCTGGAGATTGACAATGCCAAGCTTGCAGCAGATGACTTTAGGGTCAAGTGAGTTTTGCTCTTTTTGTTCCTTCCTATAATCCCTGAGAAAGATCCATCATGAAATATATTGTACTATTTTTGTACTAATCTCTTGGTTTTAATGGTTTATTATATTATTCATTCCTAAACAGATGGGAGGCAGAAGCTACTCTTTGCCAGTCAGTTGAGAGAGACTGTCATGCTCTGAGACGAGCAAAATCTGATCACGATCAGATCATCGCAACCCTTCGAGGAGACCTGGACAGTCTGAAAGAGGAGCTCTATTTCCTCCAGAAGAACCATGATGAGGTTAAACACAAAAACATAAATAGTAATAGTAAAGGAAATAGTAGTCATTATTCAGCTTGATGCCATTAATATTCATAGGTAAAGTTTGCACGTACATTTTTGCATAATTATATGCTGAATGTAATGCACAATATAGAAATATTAACAGCAACTAAAACGTATTTACATGCACAGGTTTGGGAATGCTGTATATAAATACATTCTAAATATTTGTAGTTACATTTTACTATTATGCAGGTATATATATTTGAGCTCCCCACCCTACTCTAAACCTAACCACTTTTTCAACAATATAAATAATGTAATAAGCAGATAAACATGGTCACCGTGATTTTGCCAAGTAAGACATGTTCCTGGATCAACATCTTTTGTTGATCCAGGATCAACATTACTGTCCAAAAATATAGACTTAACCCAATCCCTACCCCTAAACCTAACCTTACCCATAATTTATTCCTAAAAACAGGGAAATGATAGCTGATTACCAAGGGTGTAGAAGCTCCTAATCCTGATTGTAAGCCTAAAACTGACATTTCCTGAAAAGTTATCTCTCAAATCTGATTGGTTGATTGGAATGATGTTCCAGGATGAACAAGGATGTTGATCCAGGAACATGTTGTACTTGGTGAAATCACGGTCACCGATAAACATATAGTGAAAATAATTTTAGTCAGACTATACTATTACATAGATATTTTTTGAGCAAGATCATGCCTTATTTCTCACAGTAGCCATTCAGAAATATATCAAGACTTTTAGTGCTGCAGATATAAACACACCCTTATCTAACTGTTTTCTTTACATTTATATATATAGAGTAATCAGTGTGTAAAACACACACATTAACACACACACACCCAGGTCTACAAACATATGGAGTAGGTGAAGAAGTGTTTGGTCAGACAGGTGTGGCTCCACTCAAATTTAGCATTTAACCCTAAACAAATCAATCACTTTACAATGAGCATCTGCAGAATGTTAAGAGCACAAATATAGGCAATTGTACAAAAATGATCAAAAATGTATGGAGATCATTGCATTATATAACAAAATATAGATTTAATGTGGCATTCATTTTTAAAACAAGACACAGGTGAATAGGGTAAAACAATGTAGATATTATACTTCCCCAGCTGATTGAGTACATTAAGAATTGCACACATTTTTTGTATTACATGGTTTCTGAAAGGTTATGTTTAAATATGCAAATGAGACATTATCTAATTAAATTAAATATATTTTTCATCACTTAATAAAGTAATAATATAAATTAGAAAATACTGTCAACAGCCAGAAAAAAAAAAATCATAATTTTGTTTTTAGGAATAAAATGTATAAAATCAGGCAAATCATGTATGAACAAACCCCACTGTAAAAGCTGTTAGAATACAGATAAGAAAAAAAAACTGTACAGTTTGGTGTATGTAAATATTAAAGTCTAGATATTAAAGTATTAAAGTCTAAATTTCTGGTTCAGTGCAAGAGAAAAAAAAACTCATTTTGAGAAAATGGCTTTTGAAGATGTGTATTGTAATTGAAATCAACAGACGCACATATATAAAGTGCAATACAATAAAGACTAAAAAGTTTATTTTGGATTTTTCTTTCCACTAGTCTGAAAAAGGTTCTGAAAATGTTATAATTGGTTCATATTTCTAAGAAAATTAGTATCATTTGATATTTTGTGATCTAATGCAGTTCACACATTTGAAGTGCTTAGATGTGCAAATACTCTCTGGTGAGATTCTAAATGACTCGTCTGTCACCATGAAGGAGAAGAGCACACTGAAGGCCCGTCTAGCCAATGAGCAAGTGAACGTGGAGGTGGATGCAGCCCAGGGCCCAGACCTCGGAGCCATCATGGCAGAGCTAAGGGTGCAGTACGAGAGCATCGCACGCAAGAATAAAGAGGATGCTGAGATGTGGTATCTGAAGAAGGTCAGTGTACAATCCAACACAGACTCCACACACCTGAATCAGCTATTTATAGACTGATGATTTCACTGCAAACACAGGTGTGTTTAAAAGAATATGTGTTCTGTGGTGTGTGTGTGTATATGTGACAGCTGGAGACCGTGCAGTCGGAGGTGAAGGAGAGTAACGAGGCTCTGCGATGTGCTCAGAGTGAACTCAGTGAAAGACGACGCTTCCTGCAGGCGTTAGAGGTGGAACTGGACAGTCTGCGCAAACAGGTGACATGAATGAAAGTTTATCCTAAAATTGCTGCAGTTTGTCTGTGAAAAATGTCCAGTTGGTAAAAGCATGACTTTTACTCCTGTTGAGACAAATCAAGTAGTAACTGAAGTAACCAGTTAATATAGATGCAAGTGTATGCTTCAGAACACTGGAACATTGTGAATTGTTGCATCCCATAAGGTCCAGGAAAGTCTCCCAATTTTTTTATTTTCTTTGTTTTCCTGAACTTTTCCAGTTGTTTAGATGGTCATGAACATGCTGCAAAGTAGACTTTTATAATAATAAAAATATTTTCACTGCAGTGGACATCAGAACGGATTAAGTCAAATAAACAAATATTATCAAAAGGACAAATCTTTCACAAACATCTGCCAAAAACATAACTCAGCATATATGTTGAAATTCTACTGTATTTTCAGTGTATGTTCATGAAGTATGACAGGGGATTTGAAAACGTCATGATGCCAAGGAGCCCCAAATATAATGATCCTCATGCTCATATTTTATTGTTTATATTTTAATATGTTTTTATTGACGAAAAAAAATATTTTTGTTGATATTTATGTTGAATAAATGAAATAACTGACTTGACTTCATAATCGATAAACCAAATTATTAAAATATTACCGGTATCTGGAAAATATTTATTTATTATTAATTATTTCTTTATTAGGCTGACAGTGTGTCTTTATCTGAGCTGAACACTTTACACAAGTCTTTATGCATTAGTAATATCAAATTTGGCCAAATAAAAATAAAATAAATAAATAAAAATATTAAATATCATTAGTGACTTTTTTTTTCTTTTTTTTTCTGAAGTGTAGCACCCCAGTTTGAAAATGATACATCTCATATGTTCTACCAGACTTTAAACCCCTGGAAAAAGGGAAAACAGTCTATTTTTGAGAGGTTTATATACAAGATAATAACAAAGATTCCCGACTAATTGCTTACTTGCTTTTCTATTAAGGAGAAAGTTCCTTTTCCAAATTTCCTGTAGAGTGGGCAAGACTGAATTGCTTGAAGTCAAGAGGGAATGGAGAAAACACATCTTCCCAACCTTCTTACAATGAATTGCTCATGCTATATTACTCGTCTGTAAATCTGTTTGGATAAACATTCTTCAAACAGTCAAATCCTCTATCCTGTGGTTAAAGGTCAATGAATATGTCAGTGAGCTGTGTGAGGCATCATATTCTGGCAGTGTTTTTTCTTTTTACCTTTTTTTGACTTTGTTTTTTAATTAGATCTGCAATAATTTAGCCCATAGTTTGTCAACAAATATCCAGAGAACGTGTCAAGGTTACCTCTTCAGCACAGGAAACCACAGTCCCCTCCATCTGCTGTTCATCCTCATGCAAACAACAACCATATGTTTACTCCCATATAAAAAAAATCACTCTGGAATACATGTGATGACAGTCTAAAAACACGTTGCATCCTCATGGCCTGGACAGGTGATAAAGAGCTTTCAGCAGGTTGTTCAGCTAGTAGTTCACACATACTGGTTATAGATCAGACATTATACAAGGAAGTTCATTCTTGATGGTGCTCATCTCTAATAATGGGTTTACACTAATCATACTCCAGTCTTACATACTGTATTTTGAACTCATTGAAAATGTTATGGCTCACCTCAGGTTGGTGTTCTGGAGGGGAACCTCGGAGAGACGAATCAGAAGTACACTCTTGAGATCGAGCATCTTCAGGGCTCGCTCACACAGCTGGAGGATGAACTCTCACAGCTGCGCCTGGACATGCAACGAATCAAAACCGATTACGAGCAGTTACTGCGTATCAAACAGAATCTGGAGCTGGAGATCGCCACCTACCGGAGGCTGCTGGAGGGAGAGGAAGTGTAAGAACCCAGAGAGCTTTCTCGAAGCTGAAATATGCTGTTTTCTTTTGACACAGTTCCTTAAGTATACCCAGATAATGCTGAAGGAAGCGTTTCTGATATATGCAATCAGTTGTGACTATTTCCTTTTTGTTTTTCAGGATAAAAGAGACACCCTCTTCTAAAAGTAAGTCTGTTCTGAATGGATAGTTCTAAGACTATAAAACTAAAGAAGTATTCCGTTTTTTGGGGGGAAAATATACAAATACTGTATAATGTTGATACTAATATAGGGAAGAATGGGGTTTATTTGAATGAAATGCTTGAGCAGTGTTTTTGTATTTTGAGTTCAAACATCTAGTACAAAATCCTCTTAAAACTGGAATATTTTGTTATTGAAACTATTATAAAACTAAAATCACAATATAATATTTGTCACGGCTTTTAAACAAGCAAACACAATAAAACAACACTGACATACATTCAGAAAAGTGTCACCATGCAATATGTATCAAAGTAAGATTTTAACCTAAAACGTCCAGTTGAGGCAAGTTTTTCCATGTGTCATATGTTTTAATACAATAATTGAATTTTTACTAATAACTTTTGTTGACCAAAACAATGGTTTGATATATTGTATATTACATATTTACAGTTTGTAATTATATACTGTATATATATTGTTTAAATTGCTGACACTGTTTTATGGTTGGTTTCCATTGTGACTAATTTGCTCTCTGCTAATCTGAACTTGACGTATTTTCCCTGAGTGATAATGGTGGAAATGTTTAAAACATTTTAAGGTTTGCATTATTTTCAAAAATAAAGCCACCTGAGAAATGTTCACTGGAGTAAAAAGAGCTACAACTAGCCCTACAACAGTATCATTAAGTTTACTTATATTGTAGTTGCCAACAACTCTTTGACAGTATAACTCGGCACAATAAATTAGTTATAGTGAAGTGATCTCCTAAAAAGAGCATTTGAGCACCTGCAGTAGCATGTATACATTTAAAACACTGAACTTGCATACATTCTCTATGAGAATTCAAATGCTCATAGCTTTTTTTCCTGCCTTTTGTAGAAGAACCTGAAGTGAGAACCAGGAAGATTGTGAAGGTGGTCACCCAGACCATGGTAAATGGAAAGGTGGTGGATGAATCCAGTGAAGTTGAACAGATTGAAGAACGAAAAAAGTGAGTCTGGCTCACAAGTGACACCTATATTCTTGTGCTTTATCAGTGGGTACACTTATCACAAGACTATTCTCAGTGATCTGTTCATCATTTCGCTACACATTGAATAAACATGTCAGATATTACAAAGTAGTGACGTGTCAGCGGTCTTGATTTTTTTTCTACCACCTCTTTTTCATCATTTATAGGACTATAAGACTTTACATCTTCACATTCTCTCATAATTATTTGAATGTCTTGCATTTCTTTTCACTGATATTATTTCTTCTTCACTTTCTTTAGGTCTGATTCTGTAAGGCGAGTCGCAATAGAGCGGGTCATTTAAGAGTAGCACAGACCGAAAGTCACACAGTGAAACTAAATACATACGATACTAGCTGATTTCCTGAATAAAGTAGGCCTACTAGTTTTAGGGACGGTGGTAGAAAAATGATATGTAGCTGTGGATGGGGATTTGAACCTGTGTGGTCACAGTGTGAGAAACCGAGCCAAAGGACGAAATCAAGACAGCTTCACTTTGAGAACGATGACCGAAAAAGCCCTGACACCAAACCTCTGTAGTGTCAGATGTCTTGCTTTTGTGTGGCTTTCTGGGTGAAACAATTACTACAGTCCCAGCCCATCACGGTCCTTGTAAACAAGAGCCTTTACTTTGGTTTGCTCTGATAAATTCCACTATTATTGCCAGGTATAAAACTATTTAAGCACTTAAACAGACTTTCAGTAAATTCTAGCAATCTTACACAGGTCAGATTTATATATCTATTACTTGAAAATCAGAATTTATTTTTCATTCTCTGTGCTGAATGAAACACTAGGCTATACTACATCCAAAATACTGAATGAAATGTCTGAATTCATCATTTTTATATGTAGAATTTTATCTACTAACCATATCTATAGACAATTAGCTCATATAATGAAAATGTGACACTTGTGTTTGGATGAGAGCTCCAAGAAAACACATTCAGTTATGCAGTTTTCAATATGGGGCATTCATAATTCACTTTTTTTTTGTCATTGTCTTTTTGATGATTATGGATGTGGAGTGCATATCTTACAAAGAAAGGTGCAGAGTCCCAGCTCAGCTTTAACACCCTGTGTATTATCCCATCTAAACCATTGTGCAGATGAGTAAACATACTGATACATACAATGAAGCATTTACAATAAACTTTAGACTGATCGGCCACAGACTCTTGTTTGTTACTGACAATAAAAGTGATATGGTGTCTACCACTGCCTTTGGCAAATGAAGAGGGTTTCTGTCTTCAGCTGCTACAGTGTATTCAATATCGTGATCCTTCCATTCAGTAGAAATCTCTCAAAACTATTTGTTTTTACATGTCAAAAGCCCCATAACAACAATCTCAAATACTGCTGCACTGTAAATGTATAATTTACTTAACAGACGATTATTAATATAACTTAAAAATAAAATTGCATTACTCGCTTCCTTTGTACAACACTTCCTCCTTGTGGCAAGACGTACGCAAAGTGGTTTTGTTTAAGAGCATCATCTTTATCATCATCGTTATGTACTTTTTTCATATTCACGTGGGTTCCACAAAAAACAGCAAGAATAGAAACGTGGACGTTGACAGCCTTAGTTGCACTCTAGAAATAATAATAATTTTTAAAAAATAATTTACATTTATTATTATATTATATGTAATTATATATATATATATATATATATATATTATTTACATATATTACATATATTAAAATTGTACAATTATTATTGTTATTATTATTAATGTTATTATTATCTGGAGAGCAATTATGGCTTTCAGGGATTCATATAACTTGCGACAGTCAACATTTCCATTCTTGCAGGGTTTTTATTTTTATTCATTTATTTTGGAATATTACAAATTCTAATAATAATAATAATTGTAATATACTATTTTACTATTGTAATATACAAGTGGTTGCAGCATGAATGGAAAAGTGAATAGTCATAAAAGTCATAAGTAATATGAAACCTTGAACGCCTTCTCTAAAGATCAAGAAATACAACAACAAATACTACTACTACTAAAGCAATAGTACATTTCAGTTTCAGTGTAAAATATTCAAGTGGCTTACACAAAAAACATTTAAAAAAATTTTTTTTTTTTAAATGAATGGATGTTAATTGTACTGAAACATTGAAAGTCTACATAAAAATTATAATCATACTATATACAACAACAATAAAATTTACTATTGCAATATTAAATGGTTCCAAAAAAACTGCATAGTCTGGATGACCTTTTTTATTGTACGGTCTAACTGTGAATAAATCTTTCGTTCTGCCGTTAAGAATAGACTTTATACAGACGACACGAAGGGTTTTCACAATTAGCCACCTGTAATTGTGTCCTGCCCCTTTAAATTTAGCCGACCAATCAGGAAAGTGGGCACATCCTTTCACGTCTCAAGCCACACACTAAACACACAGGCGCTGTATGCTCATCCCAGGACAACAAAACACCCAGACAGAAAATAAAGCAAATTGCTGCAGGTATTCATATTTTAAATAAACACTTATATTCACCTCATTCCCGTGACGGTGTGTCTTTTTCTCCATTCTTTACAGTCGTCCATCCAGTGTTTCTGGTTTAGCTCTGTACAGTTTCCAGGCCTGTACTTAACACCATCGTGCACACTTAAAACATTTGTGCTATCAGAAAATATAGACCAGCATCTACATCTAAATATCATTATAATCATGTGCCTTTTAAACCTTTTAGCTAAACACGTGCGTTTGGAAACTATAGACAATTACAGATAGGCATATATTACATGGTTATACTAAGTTTAAATCTGTTATGTTGTGTGTATTTAATAGTGCACCATGGCTCAGGACGGGGTGATACTGCAGTTCAACTTTCCCACATTCGGGGACTCCATGCTTCAAAAGATGGATGTTCTTCGTCGAGACAGACGTTTCTGTGATGTTGTGGTCCACATCAATGACTTGGAAGTGCCTGGACACAAAGTGGTCTTTGCCGCTGGCTCCCCTTTCCTTAGAGACCAGTTTGTCCTTCAGGACTCACATGAAGTACAGATATCTACACAGCAGGATGCAGAAGTTGGACAGAAGCTTCTTCTGTCCTGCTACACTGGGACACTGGAATTTCCAGAGCTGGAATTAGTACACTATTTAACAGTTGCTAGTTTCCTCCAGATGGGTCACATTGTAGAGCAGTGCACCAAAGCTCTAAATAAATTCATAAAACCACATGAGGTCAAAGACGAGCGTGCATCATCCCGACAGCCATCGGACTTCAACGCACAGCGTGGCCAACCAGCTGTGGAGACGGTATGTGATGAAGAGGATGAGGTGGACAATGATGGCGAAGATGACATTGATGATGATGATGATGTTGTGATCATACAACCCAAGTCTCCGCCTGTGTTTAGAAACTCTCAGAGCAACAGCAGAGGAGAGGAAAGTCCCATTAGCATCGTTAAGGTAGAGTCAATAGATGAGCGAATGCCTGATAACTTCCAGCGTCGCTCAAGTCGCTCGCCAACACTGCGCTCACCAGAGCCACAGCACTCCCTGATAAACTCCACAGTGGAAACCCGACCTGCAGAAATCGCCATCAACCCCGCAGCTGAATATTCGCTGTCCCCACCTGGACCCAGCGGCTCCGGGAAAGGGAATCTTTGGGGATGCTCAAGGAATGCCGATAAGGGTATGCAGTGGTACCACCAGTGCCCTAAATGTGCTCGTGTGTTCCGTCAGCTGGAGAACTATGCCAACCATCTGAAGATGCACAAGCTGTTTATGTGCCTCCTGTGTGGAAAAACATTTACCCAGAAAGGAAACCTACACCGGCACATGCGTGTCCACGCTGGCATCAAACCCTTCCAGTGTAAGATATGTGGAAAGACTTTTACTCAGAAGTGTTCGCTGCTAGACCACCTGAACCTTCACAGTGGGGACAAACCACACCGATGTAATTACTGCGACATGGTGTTTGCACATAAACCAGTTCTCCGTAAACACCTGAAGCAGATCCATGGAAAAAACAGTTTTGATAATGCCAATGAAGGCAGTTTGATTGAAGGACTATAAATTCATATTAACGTCTAAATAAATTATATTAATATACATGACGTAGACACAATTTGTCTTGAAGTCACAATTCTGTATAAAAGTGGTTCTCAACCAGGAGGTCAGGGTGCAATAGGGGGCCCCAGTAAAGGGCCGTTCACTGCAAGGACGATAATTATAAAAATAATGATAAACGATATAGTTTCAAAAATCATTCTCAATGTAAAGAAATAAATAAGTCCACACCTCTACCATAACAATAACAGCACATTGGAACAATATTGTCGGAATCACTTTTTTTTTTTACGATAAAAACATTGACAGCCAGTCAGATTCCAATCAGTTTTAAAGAGCGTGAGCATGTAAAGCAGTCGATGACAGAACTGCAGCACGTGTTCATAATAAACATTACATTATTGTACACTGATGTGGACACATATAGTTATCATTACGGTTATCTTTATAGTTATCGGTCTTGGTGTGAATGGGCTTTAGGTGTTAAAATATTTTTAATGTAGTTATATTAAGTTTATCTTAATTAAAATTTTACAAAACACAAAAGTAATCATTTACAACATGAAACTAACTCATTACGTTTTTAAGTTTATTTATTTTTAAAGACCAGAGGTACATAATTTATAGGTACATAAATTGTTGACAAGAGTGGATTGGAGTTAAAAAGGTTGAGAACCACTGCTGTAAATTAATACACTAAATTACAAGAACTAAATGAAGTGTCCGCTGATTGGTAGATAAATGTTCAGTCAAAGTCAGGTTTAATGTCATTTTCTTTTTTTTCATATTGCAGGTCCAGGGAGATGTATTAAGTTGATTTTGAATGCTGCTGTGGCATCATTTGGCTGTCATATCTTTTGTAAAGATTAAAATATATTGTTAAAGTATATCTGATCAGACCATATTTCAGTTTTGAATGCTAATGTATAACTTCCAGCTGTATTTGAACACTATTGCGCAACTCTTGGTCTGTAATAAATGTTTTCACGTTTCCATCTGTGTAAACATGCCAGAATTTGGAGAAAATTGCTGACTCACTAATAAATAATTGCAGATACTGCATGAAATGTGCACTTCTTTCTGTTAATGTTCATTATGCTATGAAAAAAATAAAAGATCACAACAAATCAACATGCTAATACATTAAGGATTTCAACATTCAGATTGATTCCAACTTTGTTTATTTCTTTGCTTTTATGACACATAGCTATGACAGAGCTGTATCATGGCGGCAAAGCATTATCGTGGACACATAGCATGTCGACCTCCGTCCACTGGGAGATTGACACCTGTTATAAATGTTGCTGCATCAGATGCCAGGAAGGCGATAGCATGAGCTACTTCCTCTACTTCACCTGGTCTGCCGAGAGCATGAGTCACCTTGCACTTCTCAAGGAACTGGAGCAAAGCACAAAACACAAGGCGTGTTATTTAGAAGCATGCATTACAGTCAAATTAGATAAAGCATTTGATCTTAACTCATCACCTGAGCATACTGGTCCTCATCAAGTCCTGCACGTTTGTGAACCTCTGTTATAATTACTCCTGGGCTGTTAAGACAAAGCATTTGTATTACCTCAGTGTAACAATTCTATGGCCCATAAAATGTAAAACAACAGAATGAAACTTACCAAACTGAGTTGACACGTACTTGCTTTGATGCCAACTCTACAATTAAGATGAGATGAGAAAACACTTGTTTGTAGAGTAGTAATACCCAAGCCCTTTGCATCAACTAGTAGAGGAGACCGGGGCTAGTTGTCACACTTTTTACTTGGGTGTATTTTTCAGGGCAAGTTTATTATTGAAAGTCAATTTCTGTAAATGGCCATAAAATTAGCTAAAAATCTATTCATCATTTCTGCCATTAATGCTCTAAGAGAATGCTGTCACACTTTATAGGGTAAGTTGGAATTACAATGGAATCTGCAATTAAACAGCCTAGAAACAGTTCAAAACAAATGAAACGGCAAAAACGTAAAAGGAAACATGCCAAACTTTTGACTCAAGACAAATAGCTCGTAATAGTCTCCTGTAAATAACATTCTAGATATCATAGAGATATTATAGAGATACCTTACCAAGAGCAACACAGCGTGTGAACTGGTCGATGGCTGATTTGGACATGCAGTAGGCAAGTACACCAGGAAACTATAATGGACAGAAAATGTTTAAGACTATCAATCAGGGCCTACAAGAATAAAACAATGAGCAATTCTTTTATATTTATATATTTCATGGTTCATTTGGTACTGATGTATAAACTCATCAAACTCACTGATCGTTGCCCATTCACACTGGACACATTCACAATTGAGCCTTTCGTTTTGATGAGATGAGGCACACAGAGATGAGTGAGATGATATACTGATCTGAAAGGGAAGAAAACGTGTCAAATGTTGTTTACCTGTCCTTATAAAGTCAAATACCCGCATCTTTAAATTATTATCTATTGCACCCAGCGGGGCGCAAGGGCGTGAAAAAATGTAGGGGGAAAAAAAAAAGTGTAAAAAAACTAAATAATAATAAGGAAATTAAAATTAGATTAAAATAGTAAATGAGTAGATAAATAATACATTTAACAGTTCAGTACTACAATAAGTAGGAAAAATATAATAATGTAACTTTTTAAAAATATTATTATAATATGAACTGTATTTATAATATTTAATATTTATAGATAATAAACAAGAAACTACACAAATGTTTACATTTTATGTTGTGGGATGGGAGTACCTCAAAGCAGGATGATCATATTTGGGGGTCTGCAGGATCTAAATGATTGAAAAACCCTGATTTATTGAATCCAGTGCACATTCCCTAAGTTAAATAATATTTTACCTGACATTGACAGACATGACCTTGTCATACTGGGCCATGTCTGTTGTCTCTATACTGCCCATGGCGAGGATTCCTGCACTGTTGATGAGGACATCCAGCTTCCCAAAGTGAGCGATGACCTCTTCCACTGTCCTCTTCACAGTGTCCTCATCTGTTAAGTCTCCTGGCACTAATAAGGGCTAAACACGTTGGACAGGAGCCATAGGGAGATGAGCATTTCTATGTGAATCATTAAAGCCTATTAGCATCATTGAGACGGTATTTAACAGTCTGAAGAGATTCCAGTGAGTTTTACTTTAACTGCCCCACAAGCTTCGCACTCTTCGGCGACTTTGGTGAGGTTGTCCACATCGCGTCCATTAAGCGCCAGCTGGGCGCCCAGTCTGGAGAACAGCACCGCTGCGCCCGCTCCTATCCCTGAACTCGCGCCGGTGATCAGCGTGACTTTGCCCTTTAAAGAGCCAACCTAAAACGCCAAATCATCATGTTTAAAATCAAAGTTTAGTGTGAAATTCAAACGCAACCAGTATATCGATGTGATTGAGGTTTGATTGACTCAGGCATTTTGCAATTCTGTGAGTGTAAAGCAGGGCTCAACCGCTGATCTATATAATCAATATACAATCAATTCACTATTATAGATCAGTGGGCTCAACCTACTTTGAACGCATCTGGAGTTGCCATTTCGATTCATAGGATATTCACAGCTCGAGTGACCCGGCTTTTATTTTTCCTTTCGCTCACGTGCAACAGAAAACGAGTTAGTTACGTCACTGTGTACGTACAATAAGAGCAATAAGGTACAAAACATTACAAGGGTTCAGTCCATTACTTTATTTCTAAATTAAGTCAGTAAAATGTGAATTGCATTGTTCAGTTTTCTCGTGCCAGAGTATATCTGTATTTTTACTATCAGACCGACTGTTGCGGATTTCATTAAAAGTGACTTTGATAGTGTTTATCTAAATATCCGGGTCACTAGCGTCATAACGATTTCAAAATTGTAGTCCTAATTTTTGCCTTTCAAAATCGTAGTTCATACAAAGACAATGACAAATTATATAGAAACCACTTAGGAAAACAAGGAGAAATTCTATCAATTTAGTGAAAATATTTAAGTACAATGGCTTATTTATTTATTTGTTTTTAAAAAAAAATTTAAAATACCATACATTTAAAACCCAATGTAAAAGATTATAGGGAAAACAGAGGCAAGTCAGTGTGTACAAATTTATGAAACAGCATGAAACTGAAAAAAGCACAAAATATTTATATTTACAAAACAAGGCATTATTAATGTTTCACAGTGAAATCAATCAACCAGCAAATGGGTTGGCATGGATAGTATTATCCTTAATACGGACATCTTTAAGAGGACGAAAAGTCTTTTCATTCACAGGAAGTTTCTCTAGTTCATGCAGAGTTTCGAGTCCATCTATAATTCTGTGACAAAGAATGAGTTGGTGTTACAATTCATTACCATCAATACAATTACAACAACATTAAATACACAAACAATTATTAGCTTATTATTTGAACTATCAATCACATAGAAGAAAAACGTAAAAATAAATAAATAAAACACACAAGCAAAAGATCATAAACAAAAAACATACTTTCCAAAAACCGTGTCCAGGTGAGGCTGTTTTGCATATGTGAAGTAGAACCGTGATGCATTTGTGTTTGGTCCATTATTTAGGGTGACCATACGTGCCATTTTCCCAGGACGCGTCCTGGGAAAATGGCACGTATGGTCACCCTACTGATTATTGGCCATGGCCACCACACCCCGGACATTGTGCTACATAAGACAGACATTAAATGGGAGATTAAGTTAGATCAGACTAAAAAGATGTTTAAATTGCATTGTAAGTCAGTCTGGTCCAGACATGATTAACTACAGTGCCGGATACTGTGGATGTTAGTTATTTTTGCTCAGACTAGATGATTAATGAGAGGTTTTCTTAAAACATAGAATGATGTGATATTTTTCCCCCACACAAACCACTTAAACATTAAATTACTTTAAGATCAATACATACTTTCAGATATTCACTGAATTCATCTTCAAACTTTCTTACCCAAATACTGGTCCCTCCTTTGCCTGTACCTGCGGGAAAAACATAATTTAAATAATTCAACCAAATAAACCTTGACCGAAAATGGTAAAAAAAAAAACGCATTCACTCATTTTACAAATTTACAAGCTAAAAACTAAAGCTGTGAGACTTGGGTTAGAGGTAAGAAAATAAATCCATTATCAGTTACCTGTTGGGTCTCCAGTCTGGACCATAAAGCCCGTTATGTTTCAATGAAAAATACATCCATTGTAAAACCCACTAGCGCACAGTGCAATACAATTATATGAGGGAAAAAAAGAGAATTAACATATAGAAAAAAATGACATCGCCTATTCAAGATAGGTGTCTGTGTGTTGGAAACAGGTGTCTTCACAGCTTTTCGGGGCCTTCTCACAAAACAACTCTATTTTGATATCACCAAGGTCTGTGTGCAGTGTAACAGCCTGCGAGATAAGTGAGATAATGAGTTCAGCTCATTAATAAAGTAGAATTACATAATCATTGAAATAATTATTAATATAAGATCAATAATTACCAATTTAGAATGCAAATAATTATTTCATACTGCTCAAAGACTAATAAAGAATATCAAATGTTTTTCTAACTGTTATTTGGCCAGAGTATTCCACCACAAATACTAACATAAAACAGATAAAACGTTAAACTAATGTACTCTATAGAACACTGTATATAACCCAAACTAAAAAGGTAAAAAATGTGTTCTCGCAAAGTTCAGCATTCATAGGGAATTAAAGAGCAATCTTACCATCTTCTAAAACATACTACAGTCCAGTGAGTGTTTCACTGAATAACGTCCGACGCAACTGAATGACGATAAAACATTATTCTTCTTGGTTTTATGGCGAGTTGCAATCTTTGCGGATATCGCCACCTCCGATAAAACATTGGTTCCCATTTAGCTTTTAAAAATGGCTTTTTCTCAGTCTGTGCATAAATAAGAGCAGTTTTAACAACAGTAACGATAATTATAATAATGCTGAATAAATATTTTAAGTAACCGGTTACTACTGTAGTGTTTACAACAGCATATAAAGCTGACAAACTAAAATCCAGTTATTCTTTATAAAAATAACGTATTCATTATAAAATATTCGACACAATTACTAAACTACTTCCAGTGGTTTTTATTGACACACAAAGAAAACCGAGTGTTTATTCACTCTGTATGGCTTGACACATTTTGTAGCATATACTTAATTTCTATTTAACATTTACTTTGCAAAACAAACCAACAAAAAAGGAAACAATAGTACAATAATACAAATAATCAAGTCGTCAACCATAAATATATCAAATGGTTACAAACATGTGAACACTGGAAACATTGTAATATTGGTTAAAAAATAACACTGACTTTAAAAAAGTCTGACAAGCTTTAGATGTACAAAGTTGAATGGCACTTACCTGAGTAACTTCTGAAATTCTATTAGCTTAGTTTCCAATGTGTGTGTATATATACAAGGAAGAATCAAACAAACAAGCTTTCTTCTAAAATCCTACACCGTTTCATACTTGAGGTAAACATGCAAGCTATGTTCAATAACTGATCAACAGTAACAAGTTTGTTAACATATCAACAAATTGAATATGGCTATTACAATGGTGAGATAAAATAGCTGTTAATCCTACACAAAGTAAACAAGTAACATGAAGTATTAACCTGCATCACACACTCAAAGTTATAATTCAACCAATGTCAAAACTGCATTGCACACACATGTAACACTTTACTAAATGTCTGATTGTCTTCTTAGTGGTGCACTGTCACGAGAACAACATGACATGAGTGTAACTGGAACAGAAAACATTTAGTGCAAAGTCGAGGGTACTAGTCTACTTCCATGAGAATGTTTACATGTCTGTCAACTGAATACAATGGATAATCTACCTTTACAGACGGTGAACTGTTCATTAGAAATTATTCATTGATAATTCTTAAGGCATTTCAAAGTGAGCAGACAGGTGAAAACAAGGTGCTGTATTTGTAAGGTATAATGTAATCAAGGCTTTTTCTAACTTCTTTTGAAAAAGTAATATTGATAATACCAATACAGTAATAATACTAATACGCATTTATACAAAAATACATGTAGATAGTGATACAGACATCACTATCTATATTTTGTAAAAGTACTTAGCCTTCGTTTTTGGATCAACTAAATAAATACTGCAAACATGCACACATCAAAAATTATTTGTGCAATCATAAATACTCAGTTAACACGCATTATTAAACTTCCGATAAAGACAAGGATTTTAAGATGACTGTAGACAATAGTAACTTCCTCTAGGGTAAAAGTTAATGAATATTGAATTATGCATCTTTCTAAACCTTTAAAAAGGAAAATGATTCATGCAACAGATGACTTGGATTATCAGTATGTTAAAAAGACTGTACAGCATAATATTGTGCTGGGTAACATGTAGGGTTTATATAAACAAATGTCAAGTTATGCAGTGCCCTCAAAGTTTTAGAAAATATTAACCAGTTATTCACATATTAATGAGGAGCAATTTGAACAGCTTTGCCCAACAATTTCAAATAAACAAGTGGTATTTTAGCAGTAAACTGTAAAAACGGTAAACCTTAATTGGGTTGAATTTGAAGTCTTCAACCATACAGATACATGGATTTAAGAAGAGGCAACAGTATAGAATAGGAGAGTGATTTCACAGACACTTACACAGTAACACTGGTATAAAATGTAGTCCTAATGTTTATCATAAAATACAATAACTAAATAGTGTTGTGTATATTAAGGCAAAAATGAACAGCACCTTAATCCTGATGTAAAATTTCATCTGCTCACTCCTCAGTGTCTATCAACAGAAATGCCATGGCTGTCTGTTATAATAAAACATGACATGCCATAATGTGAAATACTTACTTTTTCCCTTTTGCCTTTCAGGAAACATTTTAATGAAAGCTGAAATATTTAACAAACATGTATCATTTTCTATTATCTGGATTTAACTCACGCCGTTTAAAATCTTCACATAGGCAAGTGCTCTCAGGTTCATGCATCTGCTTCAAGAAGCCTCTTTGTCAGTTCTCCACAGCTGCTCTTTGACCTCTGAAGGTAAAGTATTGAAAATATTGTCCTCCACAATTAGACCGCTCCTCTTCAGCAATCTGCACTCCCCAAGTTCTACAGGAAGGCCTTCCAGCCGGTTTCCCCTCAGCTCCAGCTGTGTCAGACTGGTGAGCTCCCCAAACCGTGACGGTAGGGACTGCAGGCAGTTGTTTCCGAGGTTCAGTGTTTGCAACTTCTTACACTGAAACAACTCCGGGGGGAGTGCCTCAATCTATGAGGAACAATAAAAGTAGAGAGTGGACAGAGATCAGAAAACCAAGTTGAGTGAAAGTACAATAAACATTACTCACATTAATTTAACGGGATTTACAAAGAATGTACTTCCTGCATCTCATCATAAGAGCAGTAGCACTTTTTCTTGAACCAGTTGTATTATTTATTATCTATTGCTATCTAGTAAAATAATAAAAATAAATTTTGATTATCATGCATGAAAGAGTAAACAACAACAAAATCTGCATCAGTGGCAATTACAACTAAAACAACAGCTATAAAATAATTCTTGCTAATTTAAATTAAATTAGAAACTAAGCTAACATATTTTCATGACTCCAAAATAAAATAAAAATATCCACAAATTAATATGAATTTTTGTTTTGATACATGGTATGTTGTAATTAAAACATGAAAATGGCATTATATATGAAAATACTAAATACAATTTGAACGCTGAGAAATTCAACACGGTTAAACAATGATGATACCAGGTAGAGAACGAACACTGGCAGCCCTAAATATAAAATAATCAAATAGTAATAATAACAACAACCCCAAAGTACCAAAACTAGAA